TGGAAGTGGCACAAGCGATACCCACGAGAATTTTTCCGAGAGATTTTTATTGCGTCATTACTGCACACGCATGCGGCGCCCGCGCATGCACATATATATGCCTCTCAATAACGTCATTAAGATCCTTCGACATTTCCGACATGACGTCATGTATCACATGTGATTTTATGTTACATAGGTATATCGATTTCTTAAGTGACTTCGAGTACGATGCCAATATACAAGATGCTGCGTAAATTTTGTGTAAATATTTACGTTTGAATTGGTAATAAATCATATTTTTTTGACAAAATATTCTTGCATATATTTTTTTATATAAAAATTTAAAAAGTAGTCTTAAATCTTGACATTTTTAATGTTACATGCAGAAAAATATGTTTTACAAGACGAAATGATATGATTATACTAAAAAATTGATTATAAATTGATTATACTAAAAAGAACTTTGTGTAAATTATTAAAGATATATATATATTTCTAAATCTTATTTTTTTGTTATTTTAAAACATTTCTGCTTTCTCTCATTCTCTGACAAATTCTTTTAACGATTATCCAGTAGCCAATTCCAGTAGCTAATAATATTGGGAAGAGTTTTTAATACTAATAATCGACGCTATCAATATTAGTTTGTAGTCTATCATGATTTATTTACATCAACATTAACGAAATAATATGCATAACGGATTAATTATTCTTGAAAAATTTTCCGCCTGACGTCATAAGCAAATAAATGGCAGCACGTGCCTCATGGCAACAATCTGGCAGCGTGAAGCGTTTTACGATATATCACGACATTTTTATGATGCCAAACAGCCTGCGCAAGTCGTCTGCCTCCAAAATCAGTCGGCGACTGAAATTTTACGAGCCGGAATGTATTCCGGAAAACGTAAGTTAGTATCGTGCGGACGTTGTCGATGTCGAATCGATCCGCCGTTTACCTTTCTATTAAATACATGTATGCGTGTATGTATGTATGTATGTATGTATGTATGTATGTATGTATGTATGTATGTATGTATGTATGTATGTATGTATGTATGTATGTATGTATGTATGTATGTATGTATGTATGTATGTATGTATGTATGTATGTATGTATGTATGTATGTATGTATGTATGTATGTATGTATGTATGTATGTATGTATGTATGTATGTATGTATGTATGTATGTACATATGTACAACCAACAGCTAAAGAGAACCTTCTACAAATTTTATTTATGGATTTTTTAGTTAATCCATATTCAACGTGTTTAAAAAAAACTTAATGAAAAATTTTGAATGCTTTCTTTCCAATTACTTTTTAACATTCAGTATTTTAGTAATGTCTTATATTTATATATATATTTATATATACACTCAACACTGCAGGAAGGAACTGTTTAATGTTAGAAAAAAAAGTGAAATCTCATCAATAAAAGTAGATAAATATTCTCACAGTATTTCTACCTGCTTATTGGAAAGATTGATAAAATATTTTCGTAATAGCTATACGAGCAGGGTTTCTAATAAGTATTCAATACGTTTCTAACGACTATTAATATGTGTGTGTTTTTATAGATATAAATAAGATAAAATTTTCTCCGTATTCAAGGATTTTCATGTGTCACGAGAGATCTAGGAGAGAAGAAAATATTCCTCATCAGTTTGATGGAATTAATATATATAACCAGCTTCTAATATAAACTGAACTGTGTAGAACTATATATCTAATATTGATCAAATATTAAATTATTGAAGATCTTGACTCAAATCGAAGAAAATATGATATAAATTTTTGAACAATTTCAGTATTTATTTAGTTACTTGGAATATTTGTTTCCAAGGAAAAATCATTCCAATATTTTTCTGATTATTTATTTTAAAATTTGGAAAAATATGTCTTGTATGTATATAATATGCATATATAATATATTATATGTATATAATATGATTCGATTCATACGCAATTCGTTTGTTTGTAACGATGCATTTCGCTTATGTGTATTTTGTTGAACATAGCTAGGTCATTGATGGAGGTCAAATTCGATATCGGAATGAGCTAAGACTTTATGTATACGCACTATCCGAGCGATCGATTTCTCTATAAATCTATAGAACGCTGTTTAATTTACCGATTTCGCGATGTACCGTCGTGATATCGCGAGTGAGTTCTCGAAAAGCGTGATTGCATCCGCAAATATACATAGTCGTATGAAGACGTGACGAGAATCTAAAATTTACATCAAGTAATTGGACTGCATACTGACGACATCTGACGAGTATTTCAAGTACTCGGAAGTACTCGAACAAAATGATAGACAATGCGATGATCATCGATTGCGCGCTTTGTCATAACATTTTTCATTTTTTATTTGTGTTGTATATTTTATCATGTTTTTCAATCTTATTTTTGTTTTATACTCAGTTATTTAAAATATATGTTAAAGCCTAATTTGCTCAGTTATTGCACGTAAATAAAAAATTTTAAATTTACATTAGATAATATATTTAATTCAGATACAATTGAATCCAATATTTTCTAAAATTCATAAGATGTGGTGATTTACTCTTATTCGCAGTTTTTTTCAAGAATGATAGAAATCAAGATTAGTATTATACGTCCTACATGTATAACATAAGGAATATTTGATCGCATGCTCAAAATGAATCAAATGTACTCACCTTTCGAATTGTCGAAATTATCTGTCGGTTGTATTACTTAGTCTATCGACTCCATTAGAAAAATTCTCCCGATTGATACTCCGCAGTCAACGAAATAAAATAATGTCCGCCACACTCCCGATTACTTGCGCGATGCATTAAATTTCAGAGCAAATAAGAAACAAGGTTAGGACTAATGGTGTAATTGCCGCAAGAGCTAATTTCAGTCGAATAGGTTTTCTGTTCGCTAATTGTATTACCTTTGGCACTTGTGAATCGTTTCAATCGTAAGTCAATCGAAAAAAACAATCCTGATCCGAACGGCGCACTCATTAACGTACGACTCCATGGTCGCCATCGTTAATTTAAATAGTACTTCTGACGCGCGAACGCGATCGCAACTCGATTTTAAGCCCGATCTATATAAGACGCAGAATGCGAGTAGCAGGTCGCAAGTGTTAGCCAATCCGATGCGTCAATTTTAAAAATGCCGCTTCGAGATTGGCTGGCGCAACACAAACTTTCGTCTTATGTAGATCGGACTTAAAATGTTTACAATGAAATTGTAAAATGTAAAATTTAAGCTTTAAGCATTAAGTTTTAAGACCCAGTTGCGTCAATATCACTTTGATTTTAAGCGAGACTTAAAACTCTATCTGCCTCGTTTTAAAGTCAAAAAAAGACAAAGACAGAAAGAATTTTAAGCCACTTAAAATCAAAATAACGTTGATGGAATCGGACTTAAACCATAAGAAATTGATCAGTCATAGTCGATTAATTTTCTCACATTTGAAATCTAATAAAAATTAAAAATATTGTTATATGTCGTTGTGTGCAGCTTTTTTTATCATATAAAATATTCTGTGTAATGACGCTGAAACGATATCGATATTATCGTTAAGAGTTACAGAATAGAACTGATCCAAAAAATGCAACCGAATTTTGTATGTGTGTGTATGTGTATGTATGTGTGTGTTCGTTGAAGTTATCTAATACGAAAATACGATCTCTATAGATTATCATCTATCAATTGATGCACATAAATCTGAAAATAAGTTGAGTTGCGGAGTCCACTGAAATTAGTACCGCATCGTTGGAACATCTTGAAAACGCGAAATAATACTTTAAAAAATGTGCTGTGATTGGTTCGTGATACGTCGCCTTTTAAATTCTACTTTTTGGCTGTGTTCCGTTTATTTACTGTAAGCAGTACTGAAAATTTATAAACATTACTTATACTATAGATTTTTTATTCGCAGTGAATATAACAGAACTCAGGCTTTAGTACGTCAATATATAAATATGTATTGTAGTATGTACAATTCGACTAATATCGGTAATGACCGGCATTACTCGTTCATCGAAAATGAATCGTATAATGTGTATACATACATAGGTTTTGAGAGTGTGTATAACGTAAAGTAACAAGTTGTCATTTTGTGACGTTAATAAATGCATGCATGTTGATTGTAATTAGTCGCATTATCGACAGTTTGTATCCGCACGAGCAAATATTATATACTTTTTGAAAGTAATGATGGGAGTATAAATTAGCGAAGACCGCAGCGTACTGATTAGTGTAATTCAATTACTATTCATGTTTATGTGTACGTAGTAGTAGTAATTAGTATTTTTAGACAAATAATTTTAATTGCTTAGTACGTAATACTTATTTTGTTTAACCTTGTTATAATTTACTTCTTTTTGCTCAATAAGTTCAAACTTGTAAATTGTTGGTTCTATTTATATATATATATATATATATATCGATATCGATTTTCTTTTTATATTTGAAAAAGAAAATTATTGTTTCACACTATAAAACATTATAATTTTCGAATAATACAATTTAATACAATTTAGTTTTATAGATTAAAAAAATGTATTAAATTTTAATAAATATTTGTTTGAATAGTGCATCAGATCGTACTGAATATATTTACTTTAATTGTAAATAATAAATATTTTGTTATACCATTAACTTTAATTCAATTATCATTTTTTTCATTTAGTAATTATTTATTTACTGTAAGTAAATGTTAAAATAGTATTATTCAAATAAATATTTATAAACATTTAATACATTTTTTCACAGTGTTTTGGGTAAATTTTGGTATATGTACTTTTTTCCAATTAAATTTCTCTCTTGCGAAAAAAATCGAAAGATATATTTATAATCTTTCCAATATTTTTTATATCGAATACGCGTATTTTTTTTATAAAAATATTTTTTTCATAATATTTGAAAGGTAAAGAAATTTCGGCTACATACTTTACCATCATGTTGCATGATGGCACCACTTACTTCATTACATCTCGAGTAAACATTTGAAACAGCTGATAGTGTGCAGCAGAATACATAACCTTTATGCTCCACTTTATTCTTAAACGAGAGGTCTCAGTTAATTGCAAAAGTGTTCTTTAGTGCAATAAATCAAAACATGATTCGTTTTGCAGCCAAACAGTTATTTATCAACAGAAATTTTAGTACGAAATTTAATGAAATCAGCAATCTTGTTAAGGTAAGTGAATGTAATATGATAGGGATACGTTTGTGCTTATAAACCATAAATACTTCCTGGTCCAAGACATATGATATTTAATATTTTGTATAAAAAATAGCAGAATAAGTATGTAATTTCTGTATAAGATCTTTTTGCAGTTTGTACGGTATAGAAAAAGCATGAAATTAATACTCAAAAATTATCAGTAGCTTTTAGTTTTGTTAACAAATATAATATTATATATAACATCTATTATTTTAAACATTTATATGTTTAATTATATGTTTACAAATAATTTATATGTTTACAATATTATTTACTTTTTTAGAAAAATAAAGTAGTCGTCTTTATGAAAGGTATTCCAGAAGAGCCAAGATGTGGATTTAGCAATGCGGTAGTTCAAATATTACGTATGCACGGTGTTACTTATGATGCTCATGATGTTCTCAAGGATGAAGAACTTAGACAAGGTAAAAAGATTACAAATACTTATTACAAATGCTGTTATAAGTGTATTAAACAATAATTTTTCGGAAAGAGATATTTCATAAAATTTTTATCTATATATTAAGAAAAAAAATATATATTTTTAAAAATAAATATTTTTTTATTGTTTATACTGCATAAAATAAAAAATTTATATAATTTTATATATTTTCGTAAATCTTCTGTAAAGTATTAATCTTCGTAAATTATTAATTATTGCTAATGTCATATAATTCTGAAATACTAATATTAATTACTTAGGTATAAAAGACTTTTCTAATTGGCCTACAATACCACAAATATTTATAAATGGTGATTTTGTGGGTGGCTGCGACATACTCTTAGAAATGCATAAAAATGGAGACCTTATTGAGGAATTGAAGAAAGCTGGTATTACTAGTGCCCTTTTGGAAAAAGAAGATTCCTCTCAAAGTGGTGTCAACAAATCTAAAGAATAAATTTTGTTTTAAATTATCTTGTAAATAAACAACCATGTCTTGTATGGATAGAAAGATAGTCGCTTTTTGTTATAATAAACATTTTTTGTTAATATTAAACATAATTTTAACCACAATGCAGATATAATGCATATATAAATCGATGTTTAGTAATGATGTAAATTTCTTCAATTCGATTTCTTCAATTCGAGAAATTCGATATTTGAAGAATATGTTATAGATTTTTAAGTTCTTTTCGAAGAATTTTTCCAGCTGCAGATTTTGGAATACTTTCTATAACTTGTACATATCCTAATTGTTTATACTTGGCTACATGTTTAGCGACAAATTTTTTGAGTTTGTTCTCATTAATTTTGATTCCCGACTTAGGAACTACAAAAGCTTTTGGAATTTCGCCATAATTCTCGTGTGTCACACCAATGACGGCGACGTCTTCTATATTATCGTAATGACGAATTACTTCTTCAAGTTCAGTGGGTGCAACTTGATATCCTTTTACTTTTATCAATTCCTTCGATCGTCCTTGCACATACAATAAACCTGTATTTTGCAACATAATAATTCACAATTACCTCGTTTTGATTATTAAATAATATAATTATCGTCACAGTCTTATTTTTTCAAAGTTTCCGATTAAATCTTACTTACCATCTTCAGTATCTCTTACTTACCATTTTCAGTATAATACCCTAAATCACCAGTCTTAAACCAATCTCCATCCATAGTCTCTGCTGTTGCCTTGGGATTTTTGTAATACCCTTTCATTACTTGTGGGCCCCGTACATATATTTCTCCTACTTCATGCGGACCTAAATTTCTGCCGAGAGTGTTATCTCGCGTGCTTACAATCCTCATTTGTGTATTTGGAAGCAAATAACCACAGGATAACGTCGATGTATTTACAGAACTGATTGTAACAAACGGGGATAGCTCCGTCATGCCATATCTGTAAACAAAAATTGTTTTTCTTATTGTTATATAAAATATATTTGTAACAGTGATTTCTTACCCTTGCATAAAATTCATGTCATTAGTGAAACGACTTTGAAATTTGGTGATAAGTTTTTCTCCGAGCGGTGCAGCTGCTGTTAATGTTATTCTTACAGATTCAATATGACGGGGTGTAATTCGCTCATTGTATGTCATCATCTGAACGATAGGTGGTACTACATGCAATAATGTGCACCGATGATTTTCAAACAGTTTTATAAAGTTTTCCGTTGAGAATTGTGGTAGACACACCAATTTAGCACCTATTCTATAATTGATGAAATGACAATAAATCTCAATATTTCAAGCTTAATATTTCATGTATCATACGATAAACTTTTTAAGCATAATAATTGACTGCAAGACAAAGAGATCCGAGAATTGATCTTGTATGACATACGAAATGTTGATTTTATAAAGAAAATATGAAGTCAAAAGTTAAATGATTATTTAATATTAAATATTCGGTATATTTTGGGCATTCATGTCATTTACGTAAACGAGTTAATAGATACATGTTAACATACCGCAAGTAAGTATACATGGTAGCTAATAACCCATAGTGATACAATGGTAATATTAGCGGTATAATATCCTGATGGTGTTCACTCGCTTCTATTCCTGGGAAAAATATTGGATCTGCACTTTGAAGAATATTTACAACAATGTTCCTGCGAAATCGTGTTCTGATTTATTTTTTATTTTTCTTATTTTTTATTATTTTACATTGATATTATAACATAGTATATAATATATATAACATATTACATTGATATTATAACAATACATTGAATTTTTACAATGTATAGAAACTTATTTATATAAATTGCATTTTTTCCAGTCAAAATATTTAATATGTAATCAATTTACGTACCTATGAGACGACTCAACGCCTTTCGGCAAACCAGTCGTGCCACTGGAATAAGGCAAGAATACCGTATCTTCGCAACTTATTCCAGTTTTTTGACTAATTGAAAAATCTTCGATGTCGTCACGAATAAGATCATTTAATTGAATCGTCCCTGAGATTGAGCTAGCGTTAGTCCCATCGTTTACGATGATAATTGGTAATTTTATCTTCGAATTTTTCTCAATACTTGCTTTAATATCAATATATTTTCCCGGAAATGTAAAAATAGCTTGAGCGTCCGCGTTCTCTAATTGTCTTTTTATCTCATATATTGTATATGTAGGATTAATCAGAGTTGTCTTAAAAAGAAAAAATTTAAATGATTATTACAAGCTTATATAACGACAGAAAAATTTAAAAAATTAATATCTTATTGCACTATATTTTTTTCAATGTTAATTTTTATTATTTTTTACTAGTTTAAAAAATTTTTTGTTAAACTATTACTAAATAAAGTTATCTAAATTATTCCACCATCTCTTAAATTATATGCTTAAATTAAACTGCAGTTTTTTTTCAGCAAATATAATAGATATATAAAATTGCGTTTTGAACAGAATCACCATGTCCTAATCCCATTGATAAACTTGACAGTTTTACAATTTACTGGACATATATTGCATAGTATGTATATAATATTTCTAAATAATAATTTTAAGTAATAATTTTATCTTACTCGTAAACCGGCTTCATTTGCTGCTAATATGATAATAGCGAATTCTGGAATATTTGGTAAAATGATAGCAATAGTATCTCCCGATAAGAGGTTTTTTCTTAAACTCGTTGCTAGTTTACCGCATGCTTTTCTTAATTGACCGTACGTATATGATCTACCAGTATTTGCGCATACCTAAAATTAAAAAATTAATTGTCTTAAAAAGTTGTACCACTTAGGATGTTTTTTTGTTTATATAGGATATTTATAAACGCGATGAATCTAAGGATCGATAAAATTGTGACTGAACATTAAGTTTAATAAAGTATTATTATATCATTAAATAAACACAAATTATCCGAATAAAAATCTATATATAAGTTAATAAATTATCTGATATACAATAAACAGTTTCGTGCTATTGAAGCACTATTATTAATCTCATGTGAAGTGAGTAGCAAATAATGCTACTCAAAAAATGATTGCAAAAATGTAACGAGCAATTATGATGATGAAAAAATTAACGATTGTCTCAAAAATGACAAATTCCATATATGTATCTTATATAATAATATATGTATCTTAAACATATATATGTATCTTATGCATATATTCGCTGTATTTTAAGTATTCTTTTTCATTCTATTATTATCTTTGGTCACTTGATCTAAATTTATTAGCCGCATGATCTTAGCCGCGTGATCTTTCTTTTTTCGATTATTCAATTATTATCTTACATTCGATCTAAATTTAGACGTTTATTGATTAAGATGAAAAAACTTTATGACCCGTCTTCAGCGCTTACAACCATGTTAGCGCGCTAACATATTATACTTTACGTTACGCATAGAATTTCAAAGATAAAAGTGCATTTTTGTCGATAAAAGCGCGTTCTGAATAACAATGCATTTGTAAACATAAAATTATGATAATTTTGACAAATTTCGAACATATATAAAATTAATTTTTCTGTAGTCAATGTTTCAATAATTATAAAATTGTTTTTAGATCTTTTTAATTTTTAATATTGAATATTCATTAAAACTATTTGAATATTTGTTAATATTCACAGATTAATCAATTTTTATGATCTATGCATTTGTTTGTGTATTTTTATTTAAAATTATTTTTTAAATATTTAATTTCCATGTTAGTAACCAAAAATGTTTCTTATACATCTATAAATATTTCTTATCTTTGAACATTACAATTCTATATAGAATTTAACAATATAATGCATTCCATTACATAACATAAAAAAGATTTTTTTCTACACATTATGCAACTTTACACTTTTTAATTAAGCATCCTTATTGTTTACGCTGAAAATGATTCAAACTGGGATCGAAACGATTATTTTAGATATTATTATATCGTAAAATAAAACTTTGTTATATACACGAATACCTAGTGTTTCATATTGGTATTAATTTCGTAGGATTTTATAACAGCTGTATTTATAAAATTCAATCCGTTCTAAAGCTTGTATATTTTTTATTGTTTATATATTATTAAAATAGATAACATTGCAATAATATTGAAATAATTATCACTTTTTTTCATTTACCAATATTTATAGAAAAAAAATTATTACGTGATCACTACGTCCATATTACGAAAAATATAAACAACATATATTCTTTATAATTTTATATTATTTTATTTGCATTACACGTACCAAAGCAGTATGGTTTGACCATCTTCCAACTTTTTCCCAGATGAATCGTGCAAGTGAATATTCTCAAAGCCACTTATGTCAGATAGACCACTGCTTACTACATTCTGCGCATCAACTTTTAAGTTGATTGTAGTTGCATAATACCGATGTTTATTAAATTTTCTCCAATGATTTTTTGATGATACATTGACAATGCATTCTTTGATACATTTTATGGTATAAGAAACGCGTGTGAAAAGTGACAATTGCAGAATCGTCATTACGCGAAATATGTTAATAAGAATATGTTGATAAGAATGAATGTTTTAAATGTATTATGCCCACTACGTATTAGCATGTAACTAACATAAAATGAAGACTATTCCAAAGTTTAGTTTAAATATATAGCTACTGTCCCCACTGATTTAAGAAATGTAGCAATGATTATCTCATAAGAAATGTAAAAATGATTAGTAATGATTATCTCATAAATATATAAGTTTGACCTACAAAATTTTGATTATCCAAGAAAATGGATTGAAATGAATTAAAATGAATTCAGATTTTCAGAAATAAAAATTCATGAATGTTAAATGAATCCTTTTCAATCCTGAACGTATTTTTTATTCATTTATAGGAGTATATCTCTAGGCCTTTCAATCTAAAAATAATATTAGTATTTTCTGTGTACAATCGTAAATACGTAAATACTATTCAATTCAAAATTATGAATAAAGAAAAAGCAAGTACAGTTTTTTCAGTTTCCATTCAGTTAAATTTAAAAATAATATCAGCAATTTCTGTGAATTCTGCTCAATTCAATATTTTGAATATGAAATGCAGTTTTTTAATCTAAAAAGAATTTTGAATAAAAAAAGTTTTTATTCAAAATTCTTTTTTATTTAAAACTGGACCATAAATGCTACTTAAATTATTCAAAATTATAAGTAGGAAATTCTTCATTTTAATTCAACTATATTCAAAAAAATTGTAACGTAATAATTGAGCTATGTATATTCTTTTGTTTCTCTTGAAGTAATTAATTTCAAATGTAATTATTATAAATGTCTTAAGAATAAAATTTGTAACTCTTAAATTTTTTTTTTCAAATATTAAACTAGTATCAGCTCGGATCTTCAATCCATTTTAATCCATTCAATCCATTTTCATGGATTTAAAGTACGCATTAAAAAAATTTTAATTATTTTAATCCATTTTCGTTTGCTGGATATTTTTCTTAATACTTTTTCGATTCGTAAAAATTCTTTTAGACTTGAAATCTAAAAGTGAAATATTTTAATCAATATTTTTTTAAATTAATGACAAGAAAAATTTAATTTTATTTATACATGCGTATATACCGGATGTTCAAAATAAAGTTATAAATTTTTATCTCGGAAACACAGCATTATTGAAAAAAAAGTTCAGACAAAAGTTATTATAAGTACGGTGTAATAAGAAGGAGATTAAACTCAAACGATCATATAAAAAGGGTGGGCTCGAAATACGGTGTAGGAAAATCCTACTACATATATATATCTACATACATATGTATACATACGTGTAAGTCACGTGACAGTCAATACTTCCAACTTTTCCCGTAAGGCGTGATGGCACTAAAATCACATTTGCCGGATTTTTCATGGGTTCTCCTACACCGTGTTTCGAGCCCACTTTCAGATCTGGAGTTTGATCTCTTTCTTATTACGTCATGGTTGTAGGATTCAAAAAGGTTTATTTACTGATCTTATCAGTTTGACCTTGGGTGGCAAGAGTCACAGACACATCGATTTTTTAAAATGGAACTCTTTACAATAATAGATTTTTTTGAACCCTATAACTTTTGTCTGAACAATTTTTCTCAGTAATGCCGTGTTTCCTAAATAAAAATTTGTAACGCTTTATTTTGAACACCCGGTAAATAAATGAATGTACATACATATACATGAGCTACATGTGTATATAGGATGTTCGACGAAGAAATTGTCAAATGTATTTTAGAGATCATTCTAAGCAAAAAAGTTTATATACAGATCAAATTGTAATATATTATATTGAGATATAGACAAAAAATTTAATATATTATATTGAGATATAGACAATTTTATAAATATTATAATAAATAAAAATGCCAGACATTTATAATTTTTTGTAAATATTACTTTCTTAATTATCTTAGTTGTTTAAAAATGTCCATTTTCTGTTTACAAACATGCTGCTTATCTCATAAACTGTCAATCATGTTTGCATATTCAACATAGTTAAATATTCAATGCATTTTTAAAATGTAATGTCACTTTACTTGATATTTTTAAAAGTATATAAACCAATACATTCAAAAATTTGTGTATGTAGTATGAATGGCTGTATACGATAACCTCACACTATCAATTTTTGAAATGATATCAATTTTTTAATAAATATTTAGATTAACATATTGCAGCATATCTAATAAAAACTAATACGAGATGGATTGTCGTAAAAAATTTAAGTTATTCTCTGATAGAATTAAATATTTTATATTTTGATAAATTGATCTGTAGTTTATATGAACTTTCTGCGTAGAATGATCATTAGTTAGAACATATTCTAGATTTATTAATTTTCTTATGGAACATCTTATATATTAAAATATATAATTGCAATTTGTGACGTATTACTGTATTATGTATTGCTGCTATTTCTTATCAAGTTGAATTTTGAAATAACTTTGAATGATTTTGAATTACTCGTTGTTGCACAAGGTATCTAAAAGACATTTTTTAAAGATGTTTAAAAAGCGTTATCTGCTAATTTATAAACTAAAATTAAATTTTTTATTTATAGAAATTTTGGCAGAGGACAAATCGTGTTTTTATGTGTGCGCGTATGCACGTATATCATTATTATATGCATCTACTGGAAAAGATTTTTTTCACTACAAATTTGACAATATTTTGTATCAATGTAAAAGATTTATTTTACTTTATAGCATAATATTGTAATAAAATTATTATTCCAATCTAAAATATAAAATATATATCTTTAAAAAAAAACGGATTAAAATTAAAAATTTTTAACAATTCATTGTGATTGGGATTTTTTAAATTGGGATAATAGTTTTATTTTGCAATATAATGCTGTAAAGCAAAATAAATTTCTACATCGATATAAACACTTTGTCAAATTTGTAGTGAAAAAATCTTTTTTAATAGATTTAAATTTAAATTTATCTAAAAATACACAATGAATTATTTAATCAAAAATTTTTAATTTTAATTTATATAGTTAATAAGTAATACATATTATTTCATATAAGAGACTTTGTAAGATACAATAATATTTGTCTATACAGGGTGGTCTACTTAAATTGACTATCTGAAATATCTTGCTTATTTTTGATGATATAAAAAAATTTTTCAAATGAAAGTGGAATGGTTTCGAGGTGGACGTATTTTGGTCATGTTTTTTTTTCTAGGTGGAGACGCCAAAAAAATATGAAGGTTATCTCCATTTTTTAAAATGGAATTGTATGATTTTTTCACACACAATATAATTTCTCTAATTATTCTACATATAAAAGTATTAAGATAGTGACATCAAAAAACCAACAGTTTACGAAATATTTTACATTTTACTCTGACATATATTAACATAAAATGATAAATAACTCGTTAAATAATTCTGATATAAAGAAAACACAGTTGCTTTAAAAAAAAATGTATGCAAAATGGATAATTTTTTAAATAAGCAACTATGTCTTTTCCATCAACTATTTTATCTTATTATTCTCTTCATAAAAGTATTAGCATACGATTATCAAAAAGTTAATAGTTTATGGTTATTTAATATTTTATGTCAATATGTGTAAGAATAAAGTGTATAAAATATCTGATAAACTGTTGGTTTTTTGATATTACTATCTTAATAATTTTATATGTAGAATAATTAAAGGAATATTGTGCAAAAATATTATACAATTCCATTTAAAAAAATGGAGGTAACTTTCATACTTTTTGGTGCCTCCACTTAAAAAAAAAAACAACATAATCAAAGTACGTCTCTCTCGAAATCGACCACTTTCATTTGAAACATTTTTTTATATCATTAAAAACATGTGAAATATCTCAAATAATCGATTGAAGTGAACCATCCTGTACATAATCATTATATTCCTATACAAAAAATTTTTTACAAACATTCAATCAAATCTAAAAGACCAAATTTCGATCAAGACTAAGCATAAATTTTCTTGTACATTATTTAAAGAGAATATATTATATAGAATATATTATATATTATTCTTGATCGAATCTCTCCGTTCTTCTTCGATATTTCTAACAAGCATCTCTCTCTCTCTCTCTCTCTCTCTCTCTCTCTCTCTCTCTCTCTCTCTCTCTCTCTCTCTCTCTCTCTCTCTCTCTCTCTCTCTCTCTCTCTCTCTCTCTCTCTCTCTCTCTCTCTCTCTCTCTCTCTCTCTCTCTCTCTCTCTCTCTCTCTCTCTCTCTCTCTCTCTCTCTCTCTCTCTCTCTCTCTCTCTCTCTCTCTCTCTCTCTCTCTCTCTCTCTCTCTCTCTCTCTCTCTCTCTCTCTCTCTCTCTCTCTCTCTCTCTCTCTCTCTCTCTCTCTCTCTCTCTCTCTCTCTCTCTCTCTCTCTCTCTCTCTCTCTCTCTCTCTCTCTCTCTCTCTCTCTCTCTCTCTCTCTCTCTCTCTCTCTCTCTCTCTCTCTCTCTCTCTCTCTCTCTCTCTCTCTCTCTCTCTCTCTCTCTCTCCCTCCCTCTCTCTCTCTCTCTATATATATATATATATGCATATAAAAAACGCGAAGGCGAGGAATCTGGGTCAATATGCTGCCTTCGGCAACGCATGCAAGTTCGGATATCCGCTTAAAACACGAAGTTCTGCAAAGCAAGACAAATAGGTAAATTTATTTCTATCCGGATGACATTCACGCAAGTCTGTGTAAATACACAAATCATTAAATTGCGTACCATTTATCTGTCGCCTCACATTACACTTGCATGCTTTTTATAAGTTCCATCTAATTTTTTTGCTTGTAATCAGTTACAGCTAACTTTAATCTTTCACTATGTCGTCTAAGCTTTAGTTTTTTCTTATCTTTTTTCCTTTTTTCTTCTCTCACACACACACACACACCCCACACACACACACACACACACACACACACACACACACACACACACACACATATTTGATTATAGTATATAAAATTACTTACACTGAGAAAAATGGTCTGGTTGGATTAAATAGTAATTCTGATGGAAAATGAACGAATCAGAATT